ATTTTAGGTTTTGGACAAACCCAATTGTTTAAATAATGAAAATGGAGTAAACAATATATCAAAATACCCTGTAGGGAAAAGTGGCAGCCAATATTTTTTGAACAAATAACCACTTCAAAAATTAAAGTTTGTGTGAAAAATTGTCAGATATACATTTCTTGATCATTGTGGTGTGTATCAAGGCCATCCAACTGGCAGCTTGCAGGGCACAGGTGGCCCACAAGGAGTTAATCTGTGGCTCCCATCCAGCCACAACCCAGCCTACCACTGGCCTATGTGTCTTACACTATTGCAGCCTGTGCAGGGTGTGGCCCCTGAACACCCAGAAGTTGGAAAGACCTGACCTATATAAAAGGATATGTATCTAGAAGAAGAGACACTGGTGTAACTCCAGTATTTTGCTATAGCGAGAATAATTTATGTTGCAAATTATTTAAGCTAATTAAATCCCTGGATACATTTGCCCATGATGATATATCTGCTATGTATTTTTTAAATTGCTTATTTGTCTAGCACCAGAGCTTGTACATTCAGTAAAATTATTTAAACTTAGCATCTTGGTATTTACACACACTCAGATTTGGGTAAGTCTGAGTCCTAGTATCCATAGCTATAGAGATGATGAGTCTAGCGATGAAAACTATCCTGAATTTCTACGAAGCAAGAATTTCATCTTAGGTGTTAGGTAACTGGCATGTGGTCTGCAGCATATTTGGTACAAGGGAAACAATGCCAACTTAATAATTTTTCATTATGTCAATGCACCCCTGACAAGCTGTGATCTTATAGGTCAAATGAATCTGTGTATATCCATTGTGAAAATCAGATTTTTAACTAAGCTATAGGAAATAAAGATACGACTGAGGGAAAAGGGAATGAAGCAGCTGAAAAATAAAAAGGAAAGTAAGAAGGACAGGAGAAAGAATTGTAATAAAGATCTACCTAGAATGTCTTCCTTCCTTTATAAGCTGTTATAAAGGTGTAGCGTGCTTGTCTCACACATGGAATGTTAAAACTCTTTCCTGAGGTTCCTTAATTCCTGGTTTCATATATTAGAAAGTGACCACTGGAAGTTTTGCTTCATTTCTCTATTCCTCATGTAGACATGCTCTTGCATTTCATCTCAAAGTTCCTTCACCCTGCCCTAGCCTTCACAGTTGTGGAACCTCACTTGTGCTCTTCTTTGGTTGAAGATCAGTCTGTTTTTAAATCTCCTCTTCCTCTGAGTGGCCTCCCTTATACATGCTTTCAGATCTCCAGAATTGTGGCCTGTTTTACTGAGCTGTTAGATCTGCTTTCTGGTAACCTCCTCCCAAACATTGGGGCAGTGATGAGGAAGACTCTGTTCATAATGTACCTGATCCAAGTCAATAAGATTCTTTCCATTGACTTTGGTGAAGTTGAAGTAGGTTACTTGTGAATCTTGGTTCTAACTTCTCTGAAAGTACAGTGCCATATTGTTCCAACTGTAAGTCAATCCGACATATACATTGACCCCACATTTTCAGAGTCAATATTATTTATATATTAGATTTATTTAGGATAAAACATTTCCCCCCAAATATATGATGTTTCTGCAAGGGTCGACCACACATCAGATGTTGACTATAATCTGATTATTAGGGAGCTGATTATATGTCAGTGCTACATATAAGTGTGAGTTTTATGGTTCTTTGTAAGGGGAAAAAAAGTTTAACTTAGGACCAGAACAATGGAGTAACTTTATTGCATATCCTTATGTCATGACCAGTGCTTCTTAAGAACTTCGGATGATTAAAGGGAAGAGAGCCAGAAGGCACTTTGTCCTATTTTAGTCTCCTGCATCATCAGTTGACAATTATTTTTCTTCTGGTTCTGGCTACCCAACATATTGAAAGCCTGGCTAAGCAATGTTTTTCAGCCACGAACTGATGATGCCTCGGTCAGCTAGCATGTAGCATTGTCCACAAATAAGTTTTTGACAAGCCAAAATATAAATTGCTATATTAGGACTAAACCCAAAATGGAGGTGTTTCATCCTTTGTAAAGATTTCCCCCTCTCTCCCCTGGATTCCAAGGGAAGTTAAATAATATAAGATGAGCCAACCACATTTCCCACATTTCCTCTGAAATGACTTTTGGTGTGATTTTAAAGTTTAAGCACAAAGATATATTACAGTGACAAATTAAAAGGACCTAGAAGAACCAAGTCATATAAGAAAAATGACCTGTCAAACCTAGCTTCAATTTAGGCCTCACAGAATGCTCTATAGTGACCTCTTGTATGTGCCTGTATTCTAGGTACACAGTATGGTATTTCCATTAGCTAAGAAGTTTCAGGCTTTAGTTTAAGGAGCATTATCAGGTTTGTCACCTGGACTTCTACTTCTTGCCTTAGGTAGTACATTTTGTCATCTTTTTGCACTTTTCTCCTCCATAAAACTGAAGGAAGGTCAGTTGGATTCTGGCACTTCACTCTAGTACAAATCCCTTCCTTGTCTTCTCTCCTGCGCTGGGGTTTACTGGGGACATTTTAATCTTCCTTTGCGTAAATGACTTAAATTTAAAGAACTTTTTCCCCTCGATGGGAAATCAGGCCCTGCTCTGTGGAAGAGCCTACATTGAAGGGGGTAAGAAGGATGTGCCCAGACTGTCAGAACCACCAAGTGGGCTGGGGATGTCCTGTGCTTAGAAGTTTAAACCAAGCAACAGCCCTTTCAAATGGCCCGGAGAGCAGAGCAGAGCTGGTGTGGGACTCTTCAGGGGCTGGGTGGCTGGTGAATGCTAGTAACTGGAATCAAGCAAGAAGGCAATGTATTCTAATAGCCTTTAATGTAGGACAAATGCAAATATAAAGTAGGATGTAAATGAGTTGTCCCCCCACCTCTCCTGGCTTTATGGGTCCCACCAAGTTCAGGGGAACACTGTGGCCTTCAGCACCTGTGAGGGGCTGTGATGATTTCCTCTGACCTTGATAAAGACTGTTACCCACTTTCAAATATAAAACTATGTGTTTCTGGTCTGAATCCACTAATTCGGGCCTGTTACTTCCTGAAGGAGGTGAACTCCCCTCTCTAAAATAGGTAAACCATTGATTTTACAAGTTACAAAATAACAGGCCCTTTCAGCAATGCAACAGACATTTTAAAACCAGTTTTTTCATTGGCCAAGCCTTGAAGGATTTGTGTGGTGACTGCTTTCAAAATAGTGGGATAACTAAAGACAGAGGATTTGTTCAAAAACAATCCCATTTCTTATATTCTTTATACTAGTAGTGAATCACGTTTCAGATTTTTTCCTATAAGTCACCTGCTTGTCCCTGAATTGAAGACCTCTTACAACAGGGAACTCCTGTCGACTGTACTATATAGATTCTAAACCTTTTGTCCTGTCAAGCAACAGTGTTTTCCAATTCACAAACTAACACTGTCAACCCGGTTACCCAATAGGGGTGGGTTTTTTGGTTTTTTTCTAGGATTGTGTTAATGTCAAAATAACGAAATCACTGGCTGCATCCCCTTTCCTCACACTGTGCCACAGAAGTACTGCTGATAACTCAGACCAGCTCTCCCTGCCGTTCACACCTTCATCCGCTCCTTTCCCCCTTGTTCAATAGGCTCAGAAAAAGCAAGAAATTAAGCCAAAAGAGCTCCGATGCTGTATTTGCTTTTTGTTTTTATTATCAACAATCAATTAATGGTACACTCTTGGAAAACTATATGCACATGTAGAAATATTTCCCCTTTTAAATAGAAGCATTCATTTTAACCACATATAAATAAATTTGAAAACCCTGAACGTAATGTATGACGATTATGCTCACAAACATATTCCAACAGGAAGGGAAGAAGGAAAGAAAAAGGAGAAAATGAAAAAGGGAGAAAGAAAAGGAGACGACATGCAACTGATAACAAAAATATATACTATTGTCTGAGCCTGGCCTCTCTAAACGCAAAGGAACTGAACCCGTGAGAACCTTATTTCTCCATAAAGACACGCCATAGAGACTACGAGGAGGGAAAACATTATTTCATAGGGTCAACTAGAGGAGACAAGTCTGTACTGATAGGAACACTATACCATTGAGTCACAGAACACAGCTGGTAGAAAGACACAGAAAAAAGGTAAAGCAGAGCTGGCGACATTCAACTAATAGCTAGAGGTTTGTGCCTTGGAAAAGGAAACGTAAAAACCCTAAGGGAGGTGCCTGAACCCCGGTGCTCAGCAGTCACACGTGCGGCCCGGGCCGGGCGCCGCGCGGGAACAAAGGGCGGCGGGAGGAGGGGCGCGCGGGGCCGTCACCGACACCCCGGGAAGAAACACTTGTGTGGAGAGTCCGGGTCGTGAAAAGGCGTCTGAAAAACCCCACACAGCCCACGTGGCAGCTCGAGTCTGGCCCTGGCCCTGGCCCTGGCCCTGGCGCGGCGGCCCGGGGAAGTCTGTGGCCGGGGCGCCGCGGCTCAGTCCGTGCGGGGCGCGGCAGGCGGCTCCGCTGGGGGCGCTGCC